AGGTACTTAATAGTTGAAGTCGTCACATTCAAGGGGAGTACGTATATAATAATCCATACTTCTTACATGTAAAAAGTACACATTTAAAAGAAACGGCCGTAAATTTCATCAGAAACAACCAATAATAAGAAGATAGGAATTGAATATTTGGTGATAGATGAACTATTTTTGCTACTATGTACCTTGTTAAATATCTTAATCGTTGCCATAGTATTAATTAGTTAAACTTAAAGGGATTGAATTTTGATAATTGAAGAATAAGTAAAGCAGCTTGATTGGAAAAATTTATATTTTTGATCATGTTATTCATGGAAACTGGAGAAGGAGGAGGTGATGAGGTTAGAAAACATTGTAAATTTCACCTAATTGACTGATATGATAGCTAAGTAATTAATGCTAATTGCTAAATAAATTGAGTAATTAACTCTTAGAAAGCTCTTTTGTTGTAATGTAAGTTTGACAAAGAACACGGAGCCAAATCTACAACTAAAGCCCACAAGTTACAAAGTATTAAACTGATTTTTTTTATATAATTTTGGGCCTTTTTTGGCGTGGGCCCTAGACTGTCGCACTAAGGGCTGAGACTAGGTTTGCATCTCACAATCTTGAGGTTGTGGGATATATCAAACTAGGGCTGAGCAAAACTATTTGAAGATCTGAAAAATCCGATAATCCGATCCGCATCCGATCGGAAAATTATGGAAATCCGATCCGAATATGATTTTGAATCGGATATCTGATCCGGATTTTTAAGATATCGGATATCCAAATTTTGGATTTCATATATCCGATATCCGAAAAAAAGTCGGAAATCAGATATCGGATATCCGATCCGATACCCAAAAAGTAGTTGTTTTTCATTTTTATTTCTCGAATATTCTCTATTTCTTAGCCTTTTCACACAAAAAAAAAAGGTTGGAGACTAGAACCCTAATTCCCTAAACAGAAACGCATTTTCCACACACTCCCGCCTCTCTCTTTCTCTCCCCTCTCTCCTCTCAAAGTCTCAAGTATCTGAGATTTCAGTGATCTCACTCCTAAATCGAGTGCCCTCTTCTCAGATTTTAGTCATCTTACTCCCAAATCGACTACGGTGACGGCGTCTTCTCCATTTCTTGGGTTGGTGACATCGTGGCAAAGACAGCTACTCTATCTTCCTCACGGCTTCTTCATCTTTAGTAACACTAGTAGAAAAAATTAAATAGACACCCCCCTATAGCACCAGTTCTTAAAAACCGGTGCCAAATAAAACGGGCGGGACCAAAAAAATTAATAGTTGGCACCGGTTCTATCCCAAACCGGTGCCAAGCATGCAATTAGCACATGTTCAAACCGGTGCCAACTTGTAAAATTAAAAAAAAAAAGGATGGGGAAGGAGTTGGCACCGGTTCTCCTTAAACCGGTGGCAATTAAGCAAGTTAGCACCGGTTCAAACCGGTGGCATTTAAAAAAAAAAACGCGGGTTTGCTAGGTTTGCTGCTTCACCCTGTTCAATTCAACAGCACTTTCTTCATTGTTTGCTTCAAAAATTCCCAAAAAGTTTCGCCTATTCTCTTCTCCCTCCATGTCCATTGAAAGGCTAGAGCTTTCTCCTCTCCATTGAAGCAGTTAAGCTAAGCAACCTTACTCACATTGCTACTTCAATTCTCTGCATTTCCTCTTCCCAAACCCTTCCTCCATTGAAGCTTCCATTGAAGCTTCGGCCTCCTCACGCACGCAGCCTGGATGGGCTTTGTTCTGCCTCCTCGCGCACGCACGCACTCAGTTCTTCTCTTCTGTCTCCCTCCATGCATTATTGAAGCAGCTTCGACCTAGGTAAGTAATAACGCTCCTCCATTCACTTAGCTTCTCCATGTATTGCATTAACACCATTGTTGTGGTTTTATGAGGAATTGGTCTTTAGTTTAATATTTGTAAGTTTCTTGTAATTTCTAGGGCTTGGCAATTGCTACTTAAATACTCCATTAAACTCGCAAGGCTCCCCCTCCATTAAACGCACAAGGCTGCCCCTCCACAAATGTAAGTCCTTTGTAGTTGTTATTGTTGCTGTTTATAAGCTGAGAATTCTATTTAGTACAACCTGCATTTATCTATAATTCTAAATTGTTATGAGAACTTTATTTATCATCACTAATAAAGTTGAGAATTTTATTTTGTTTATAGGATAATTTAGTACTTTTTATTTAAGAGAAAAAAGTTGAGAGGAAGCTAATAGTAGTAGTTCATTTACATTAGTAGCTCATCAAATTCTACTAAAAAGCGTATCAAATGAGATAAGTAAGCATTAGATATTGAGTAAAGTATATAAGAGTAAAGCATTTATAGGGTATAGGGTTTAGGGTATAGGGTATAGGTTTAGGGTTTAGGGTATAGGGTTTAGGGTTTAGGGTTTAGGGTTTAGGGTTTCTGTAACTTATGAGTTTAAGCGTCGAACATTTTGCTTCCTTCATTTAACTTCCCTTGAATATACTTTTCTTTACGAGTTGGTTCTCACTATATATGTGTTTCAGGCTAAGAAATGGGTGTCAAGGGCTTCTAGGGTAAGATCATCAGTTTGGAGAGTGGGCGGAAAGCATCCTGGTATCTTACTCTGACTGTCCTTGTTCTTGCTCACTAATATCATTCTTATCTTTTCCCTTAATCTGGTTTCTATTTGTGTTCTATATAGGCTATATTGAAAAAGATTCAGAGGAACTTTTGGGCGAAGCATTGACCTTCTATTTGAGAGTGTTGAGACTTTGTAGGTACTCAGGTATATATATAACTTTATGTGCTATATATAAGTTCTTGTTTGCACACTTTTGTGGAGATGGTGTATGATATAACTTTAGTGCAACTTCTATCATGATGTGTGATTAATCCATTGTTTTTTAATTGATTGCATGTATCATCATATGCCTAGATACCCGTTCAAGGCTCTTGAATAGTCCCCGGTTGGGACTGTTCTTGAACGTTTACTCTCACTTAGGCGGTGAATGTATGTCCTTTTTTTCGATTTTAAGGAACATCTTGTCTTAGCATTTCCTCGATCACCATGTTCTCTGGGTACATATGTGGGTAAGTAATTACCTACGTCGTGTACTTGGAGAACTGGGGGGAAATGCTGCCGGATTTTCCTTAAAATTGGAAAGTCGACATACATTCACTAGTGAGAGTAAACGTTCAAGGATGGGTTAGGTTGGAGTGATATGGGCCCTTTGGAAGCATATATGCATTTTTGTATCTATATGATTGTTATATGAATGTTGTGTGTTTGAATTTGATTTACTTATATAATAGATGGTAGCAATTATACATGATTCGTAATATATTGCCCTGTTTAGTGACAATTTACTTAATGGAGAAGGATCGTGGCTGGATGTATGGTAGACGTGATACATTGGAATTCATTAATGGGGTTCAAGAGTTTTGCGCGAGGGCTTCATCTTATTAGCGCAGAATGGGTTTCGATTGCCTCTATTGTCCTTGTGTTGATTGTATTAATGTGAAGGTGGTCAATAGTGTTGATATCATTAGAGATCATGTAGTTTGTCGTGGGTTTAGGCTTAAATACCATGTGTGGATTTGGCACGGTGAAGAAGGAGGGTACATTGGGGATGTTATTGGGAATGATGTGCATGATGATAGAAACAATGACATTTGTGTGGAAGAGGAATACAAGAATGATGAACATATTGTTGATACTGGTGCTGAGGATGGATTTGAGGATGATCATGTGGATGATGTCGAGGATGAAGGGGTGGATGAGATGATGCGTGCTTTTGAAGGTGACGTGTTTGAGTCATTATCGGAGGCTTCTAAAAATCCCTTGTATCCTGGGTGCAAAAAATACTCTAAACTATCCGCCGTGCTAACACTTTTTAACATTAAGTCAAAGCATGGGTGGACGGACAATAGTTTTACTTCTTTGTTGAGCGTGTTAAGTGAGATGTTGCCTGACGGGAATGAAATTCCTAAGTCTTACTATTACGCTAAGAAGCTCATGTGTCCATTTGGTTTGGAGTATAAGAAGATACATGCATGTCCTAATGATTGTATTCTTTATCGAAATGAATATGAAAAATTGGAGGAGTGTCCACGATGTAAGAAGTCGCGCTACAAGCGCATGAGTTGCAATGCTGGTAAGCAGGGACCGCCTGCTAAGGTGTTGTGGTATCTTCCCATTATTCCAAGGTTTAAGCGTCTATTCTCAACACCAACAGACGCTAAAAACTTGAGGTGGCATGCAGAGGGAAGAAAGAATAACAGAATGCTGAAGCATCCAGCCGACTCCCCGCAATGGAAGAACCTTGATATCAAGTTTGGAGAATTTGGTGATGAAGTTAGAAATTTAATGCTTGATTTGTGCACGGACGGGATGAATCCATTTGGCACTCTCAGTACCCAGTATAGCACATGGCCGGTACTGTTAGTGATCTACAATTTGCCTCCTTGGTTGTGCATGAAACGGAAATACATAATGCTTTCTCTATTGATATCGGGGCCAAGGCAACCTGGAAACGACATAGATGTTTATCTTGCGCCCCTTGTTGATGATTTGAGAAAGATGTGGGACGAAGGGGTTTCTATTTTTGATGCTCATAAGAATGAGATGTTCACATTGCGTGCAGCTCTTATGTGGACCGTTAATGATTTTCTTGCGTATGGCAACTTGTCCGGGTATAAGAACAAAGGGAAAAAATCATGCCCCATTTGTATTGATGGTACGCCAAGCAGGCGCCTTGATCATTCTCACAAAGTGGTGTACTTGCGCACCCGAAGGTTACTCAGGCGCGATCACCCGTACCGTAGGCAGAAAAAGGCTTTCGATGGGACAGTGGAAGAGGGGACTGCTCCTAGGGTTGACTGGTGAAGAGGTTTACGCTCGAGTAAAGGGTGTACGAACAGTCTTTGGGAAATCAGAAAAAGCGGCGGAGTCAACTGCTCTCTTTAAAAAAGAATCAATCTTTTGGTTGCTCCCGTACGGGAAAGAACATGACGTTAGGCACTGTCTTGATGTAATGCATATAGAGAAGAATGGTTGTGATGTTCTTATGGGAATGCTGATGAATATTCAAAGCAAGACAAAGGACGGAAAGGGTGCACGGGACGATTTGAAAAAGATGGGGGTTCGTCCAAAATTTTGGGTTCAGCAAAGGGTTAGTAAGGGAAAGGAACAGGAAAAGGAAAATGAATTGAGTTCGAAAACATAAAAAGGGGAAGAGCAAGGGAAAGGGAAAGGCCACGGATGCGTCGAAGAAGAAAAATGAGGGAAAAGCCAAGGAGGGCAAGGCCTATTTACCTCCGGCTTGCTACACATTGTCAAGGGTAGAAAAACGGATGTTTTGTGCATGTCTGTATGGAATTAAGGTTCCATCAGGGTACGCATCTAACATGAAGAGATTTGTATCCTTAAATGGAGAATTGAAGCTGACAAGTATGAAATCCCATGATTGTCATGTTCTGATGCAAGTTTTCCTACCAATTGCAATACGTGGTATTTTATCAAAGCACATGCGGGTAGCTATTACAAGCCTCTGTTCGTTTTTCAATACAATATGCAGCAAAGTGCTTGATCCTTGTACACTTGATGCTTTACAGGCGGATGTGGTTGTGACTTTGTGCAAATTTGAGATGTACTTCCCACCCTCGTTTTTCGACATAATGGTGCATTTGATTCTTCATTTGGTGCGTGAGATTAAGTTATGCGGTCCAGTGTTCATGCGGTGGTGCTATCCTTTTGAAAGACATATGGATACATTGCAAGATAAAGTCAGGAATCGGGCTCACCCGGAAGGAAGTATGATTCAAGGGACCGTGGCTGAGGAGGTCGGTAATTTTGTGGCCGACTATATAGCCGTTGCTAAACCTATTGGTATTCCTACTTCTCGACACGAAGGGAGACTTGATGGTCATGGCACAATCGGGTCGAAACGAATGTCGCCTGATCAAGATAAGTTCTTACAAGCGCACCTATATGTGTTGCACCATGTTGCAGATGTTCACCCATATTTAGACGAGCACATGGCTAGTTTGCGTGATGAATTTCCATCGAAAGGTGAACGGGCACTTATGCATTTGCATAATAAGAAGTTTGTGAGCTGGTTTCGTGATCGAGTGATGGGTGGAAAGTATGAGAATGTCACAGATACAGTAAGATGGCTTGCTTATGGTCCTAGGGATGACGTTCGCTCATTTGAGGGATATGACATAAATGGGTACACATTTTGGACTGAGCATCAGGATTTGAAATCATCCTTGACCCAAAACAGTGGTGTAACTCTTGTGGCATCGTCAAGGGAGTTTGCAAGTGCTAAGGATAAATCACCTGTTGATGCAGAGTTGTCATACTACGGTCGAATTCAAGAAATATGGGAGCTTGATTATTGTGACTTCACGATTGCTCTTTTCCGGTGTAAGTGGGTTGATAATAACAGGCGTAACGTCAAACATGATGACTTTACTCTTGTAGATCTTGGCCACCTGAATGATAGTGCTGAACCATTCATCCTTGCATCTCAAGCCAAGCAAGTGTTTTACGTAAGTGATCCAGCCGACTCAAAATGGTCTATTGTGCTAGCCGGCAAAAGAAGAATCCTTGGCGTTGGAGATGTCGAGGATGAGGAAGAATATGATGCGTTTGATGACTCAGCACCTTTCACTGTTCCTAGACCTATTGTACCAAATGAGATAGACGACCAAGCCAATTACATGCGATCAGACCACGACGAAGGAATATTAGATTGAGGTACTATTTTTTGTTAGTTTGAAATTGTAGGCGTCGAACGTATTATTAAATCACATTTTTAGGTGAAAATGAATGAAATTGCTAACTTACTTGCCCATTTTTCTTATTTTCTTTTAAATGAATGAAGTAACTTAGTTCCCCATTTTCTATGTTAATTTGTATTATAATTCAGCAATTTATATTTGATTATAAATTTACCTTATAAATTTATTTATATTACAACTAATAACATGTTATGTTTGTAATGACAGGTTTTACATCTCATGGCGGATGATCACTACCGTATTGGAGTGGAGGATGTAGAGGATGATGATGATGATTCATCTGGGGTTGGGGACGAGTTGTATGATGTGAACAAGGAGCCTAATTTGGGTGAGGCAGAAGATCAGGCTCAAGATGTTTTGGATCGTATGCTTGATGAGTTTGAAATTGCAGCTGAACAAGCGCCTCCTATCGAGAATGCAATGTCTGAGTCGTTCGGCGAGGACCAAAGTGGAGGGGGGGTGAAGGGACCAGCGCAGAAAAAGCTGAGGGGTCCGACTACAAGTTTCAAGAAACCTGTCGGTCCAATGGTCTTGGAGTATGACAGGGTAGGACAACCTACAGGCAAATGGCGTCGTCAGTATGCTGTTCAAGTTGGGATTTGTGCGCGCAAAATCCCCATTACTCTTCGTTTGAGCGACGTACCTATTGGCTTGATAGACACGTTTTGGAATGATACACGGGTAAGTGATTTGTTTCCACATTTGTAAATTCCTTCACTTTATTGTTATTTAATGGGCAAACTAATAATGACTGTTATTTGTGCTTGCAGAGTCTATTTAACATTCCAAATGAGTACGCCAAGCGAAGGGTGTTTGAATCCTTACTTGCGACAAGATTCAGAGGGTTCAAGACCACCTTAGTTCGTCGGTTTATCACAAAGAAGCTTGTGAGAAAACCAAAGAACAAGAAAGAAGGTGGCATGGATGAAGAAGTCATCGATGAAGAGAAACTCCCATGGCAAATATGGCCTAGTGTATCAAAGGAAGATTGGGATGCTTTCGTTCTTCAAAAAAGCAAAAAAGAAGCAATTGTAAGTTCAAGTAACTCTGATGACAATTGTAAAATATATTTAATATTTTGGTAGTTTTGAAACTAATATGTCTAAATATGTAGGAAATAAGAGAGTAGAATTCCAAGAATGCATTGCAGAAGCAATACTACCATCGTATGAGGTGTATGACGTATGATGAATGGAGGGAGACATGGGTGAGTGAGGGAGTATACCCCACTTCGCTACTAGGGTCCTCCACTGTGCCCTCTGACTCCACGACCAGTACTTTGGTGAGTCGTGCTGGAGATTTCTTCTGTTCTTTGCATTCTCGTGACAAGAAAACCGGAAAATGGTCCATCAAGGCTCCGGAAACAAAAGAAATGGCAGATAAACTTGTAAGCAACTATGAATTGTGAACTGCATGAATCTGTTGTGTATATATCACTTTACATAAACACTAACTTGATGTTGCCTTTTTGCTTTTGCTACAGCTTGAGTACACTGGAGAGCTTGTTGAAGGCAAGCTCGTCCCAACAGTGGAGAAGGACCCTTTCACCTTGGCTTTAGGAAAGCCCTACCATCCAGGACGTGTATTGGGTGCGGGGGGGAGCTTGCTAGGATGGGAGAAGGTGATGGGTCCAGAATATACCAAATCAGGGAGATCCCGGGCAAGTGTGAACTCACCGGTCAACTTGGATGCTACGGTGGCATCAATTAAGGAACAAGTGCGCAACGAGATGCGAGAAGATTTCAATGCATGGGCAAAGCAAATGAACTTGCCGAGCTTGCCTTTCTCCTCGACTACAACGGTCGACTCTTATAGTTACCCACGAAAACAAGGAGAAGATGAGATACATGCAGACGAGGAGGTACATGATTACGTGATTTCTAATCTATAAGTATTTTGACTTGTTGAGTTATGTGGGTTCTAATTAGCCTCGCACTATCAATACATTGTTGTAGGTTGGTAATCCTGCACATGCGTACTTGAGGGAGCTTGAAAATCCAACACCACATGACTTTCCGGTTCTACAGGTGAGTTGTGTAGTTATTTATTTGGATGGTGATATTGGTTCTTTGATTCAGCTGTGAATTTGTGAAGTTTGTTGTGTTGTGCGGTTTTTGCGTTGTTTTGTGTTGTATGTTGTTGCGGTTGAGTTGCTAATGATGTGTTGCTATTGAACTACTGTTGGTGTTGTGTGTTGCTGTTGTTTATAAAAATGGTAGCAGTGAAAATGGCCTTACTCGGGCCATTTTGGTTGAAAATGCGTTCTAAAACCCCTTAATTGCTATTTTCTTGTAATTTCAAGCCTTAGTCACCAATAACTAAGTGATAAAGACATGTTATGACTAATTATGAGTTCAATAGACAAGAAATGTAGGAAATAGGCATCCTAGTAGTCAAAATGGCCTTACTCTGGCCATTTTGGTTGAAAATGCGTTCTAAAACCCCTTAATTGCTATTTTCTTGTAATATCAAGCCTTTGTCACCTATAAATAAGTGATAAAGACATGTTATGAGTATTTATGAGTTCACTAGACAAGAAATGTAGTAAATAGGCATCCTAGCAGTCAAAATGGCCTTAATCGGGCCATTTTGGTTGAAAATGCGTTCTACAACCCCTTAATTGCTATTTTCTTGTAATTTCAAGCCTTATCCACCTATAAATAAGTGATAAAGACATGTTATGACTATTTATGAGTTCACTAGACAAGAAATGTAGGAAATAGGCATCCTAGTAGTGAAAATGGCCTTACTCGGGCCTTTTTGGTTGAAAATGCGTTCTAAAACCCCTTAATTGCTATTTTCTTTTAATTTCAAGCCTTAGTCACCAATAACTAAGTGATAAAGACATGTTATGACTATTTATAAGTGCACCAGTGCACAGCACACTATTGCACAGCACACCGGTGCACAGCAGAGCACACTAGTGCACAAGGCAACACTGCACCACTGCATAGCACAGCAGCTGGCACAGCAATGCACCACCAGTGCACAGCAGCTGGCACAGCAATGCACCACCAGTGCACAGCAGCTGGCACAGCAATGCACCACCAGTGCACAGCAGCTGGCACAGCAATGCACCACCAGTGCACAGCAGCTGGCACAACAGTGCACCACTGCACAACACAGCAGCTGGCACAGCAGTGCACCACCAGTTCACAGCAGCTGGCACAGCAGTGCACCACCAGTGCACAGCAGCTGGCACAGCAGTGCACCACCAGTGCACAGCAGCTGGCAGCAGTGCACCAGTGCAGCAGGCAGCAGTGCTGTGTTGCTGTTTTTGCGTTGCTGCTGTTTTTGCATTGTTGTTGCTGTTTTTACTGTGCTATTGCTGTTTTTTTTTTGTTTTTTTTAACTTTTTTTTTTGTTTTGATTTTCTTTGTTTAACTTGGTTCTAACAACTGATCTTCGGTGTAGGAAGAGACCCGTTGTTAACTTCTTCACCCGGGCGATTCATACAGTGGAGCTTTGAATTTGGTTGCGTATGGAAGTGCTCAACCGGCCGAACAAGTTACGGTCCATTTGCGACCGCTTCGGCCAGAGCACTATTCGGTTGGGATCAATTCTGTGGTGGCCGGATTCGAGGACATCCTAATACCTGTGCCCATAGAGGAGGATGAGTTCACTACACTTTGGGCAACCAAAGGTAGTTTTGTGCAATGGCCATGTGCTTGGATACGGTTTACAACCCAGGTAATTTACATTTAGAGTTCACGCTTTACTCTATACCCGATTTTAATCCCAAGTGTTGGAAGAAATTCTTTTTTAACCATTTGTGTCCTTTAATTTGTCTTATTAGCCATCGAGGAAAAGCCTAACTTCAAAGAAGAGGGTGGAGGGGCAAAAGAGCATTGATCGACCGATGTCAAAGAAGAGGAGTGAACATGGGTCGATGAGTGGAAAAGCGTCGAACAAGAGCTCTTCGCGAAGTTCAACTATGCAAGCTACTCCACTAGTTGAAGACACGATGCTTCAATCGCTCTCTAAGGAGTTAACTTATCTGCACAACCGTGTTTGTGTGTTGCCTAGTGATAGCCCCATTCAAGTTCCACTACCTAAGGAAAAGTTCCACTACGATGATGATGCAATGGCATGGCTATTCAAAGAAGATGTGAAGGAATTTCTAAGTGGTGCAATGCTTAACATTTCCCTCATTCAAATATGCATCAGATAATTCAACTAGTACTCAATTTATGTTATTCAGTTTAGTGGTGATTGTCATTTGGTTTTCGATTAACATTCTATTATCATGCATGCAGAGCACTCCAGGAGCAAATATAGGAGCTTGAATCTCCGTGTCAAATTGGGTGGTTATGCCCTGAGCAGATGTCCACTGCTAGAATCTTAGGCAACTCTGCTGACGTGTTGTACTATGCTGAACGGGCTATCAGGGAATCAGTGGCTGCGAGAGACAAGTTTATATTCGTCCCATATTATGAGGAGTACGTCTGATTATGATAGTCAAATTCATTTGTTTTCCCAGTTTATATGCTGTACTAGGCTAAATATTGATTTGTTTGTCTCGTGTGTAGTTATCATTGGACCCTATTGGTGATTTGTGTTTCCAGTAACAAAATCTTCTTCTTTGATTCTGCTCGGTTACCTCAACCAAGAAAGCGCCTCGTGAGGTCCATACTGCAAAAATAAATATCTTGTTTGTTTCAATTCTTGTTATTGATTATCATAACCTAACTCATATGTATTAATTATACTAATCAAATTTGAACTTACTTTTGTATGTAGTGTGATGAAGAAGATAAATCCTCGAGCTCCTCGAGGTCCTACATGGAAAGCACCCAAGGTAATGCCACATGATGTTGTGATATTCTAAATATACAATGCGTAAGATGTGGCTAATTTGCTATGCATTGTGATTCATGTGCTTTGTTCCTCATGCTAGTGCGCACAACAAGAAAACGGAGTTGATTGTGGCCTATACGTGATGAGATTCATGTATGACATAGTGATGAGTCATTGTACAGACACACAACAACTTGAAGAGGTATGCCATTTTGGTTGAAATTGCGTTCTAAAACCCCTTAATTGCTATTTTCTTGTAATTTCAAGCCTTAGTCACCAATATCTAAGTTATAAAGACATGTTATGACTAATTATGAGTTCACTAGACAAGAAATGTAGGAAATAGGCATCCTAGTAGTCAAAATGGCCTTACTCGGGCCATTTTGGTTGAAAATGCGTTCTAAAACCCCCTTAATTGCTATTTTCTTGTAATTTCAAGCCTTGGCCACCTATAAATTAGTGATAAAGACATGTTATGGCTATTTATGAGTTCACTAGACAAGAAATGTAGGAAATAGGCATCCTAGTAGTCAAAATGGCCTTACTCGGGCCATTTTGGTTGAAAATGCGTTCTACAACCCCCTTAATTTCTATTTTCTTGTAATTTCAAGCCTTGGCCACCTATAAATAAGTGATAAAGACATGTTATGACTATTAATGAGTTCACTAGATCAAGAAATGTAGGAAATAGGCATCCTAGTAGTCAAAATGACCTTAATCGGGCCATTTTGGTTGAAAATGCGTTCTACAACCCCTTAATTGCTATTTTCTTGTAATTTCAAGCCTTGGCCACCTATAAATAAGTGATAAAGACATGTTATGACTATTTATGAGTTAACTTGACAAGAAATGTAGGAAATAGGCATCCTAGTAGTCAAAATGGCCTTACTCGGGCCATTTTGGTTGAAAATGCGTTTTAAAACCCCTTAATTGCTATTTTCTTGTAATTTCAAGCCTTGGCCACCTATAACTAAGTGATAGAGACATGTTACGATTATTTATGAGTTCACTCCTACTAACTTACGTTTTGTGTATGTATTCCAAGTTTTGCCAGGGACAAACGGGAAATCCGTTCACGAGCGAGGAACTCAATGTAATTCGAGACATGTTGGCGGCCTACATCACATTTAATTTGTAAATATCATTTATTTCTGTTTTAACTAGCTTAGTGTACTACATTATTACTAATCATATTTGTTTTTTTGTAGTTATGACACATTTTCCTAATTAATATCATATTTTGGGATTGTTATCAATATTTATGTCCTTGTTATTATTTTCAATTATTATTATTAATATATTAATAATATTAATTATTATTAATATTATAATAATAATTATTATTATTAATATTATAATAATAATTATTATTATTATTATTAATATTATAATAAAAATAGTAATTGTTAGATCTTCCCCTGCTAGATTGCAAAAGTTTCGAAATTGTGTTAATCAAGAACAAATTGAATCCAAACGTCAACTTTGTTTGGATGTTGAAACTAGGTGGAACTCCACTTATTTGATGTTACAATATGCTATGGTATATCGAAAAGCTTTTGATTTGTTGGAAAATTTTGATGGTGGTAAATTTCTTGTTGAATTAACAAAACTCTCTAGTGTTCCTAATGATAACGATTGGAATCGTGTTGCTTCTTTGCTTACCTTTCTTAAGATATTTTATTATGCCACTTTGAGACTTTCTGGAAATTTGTATGCTACTACCATTGTGTATTTGCTTGAACTTGTGACAATTGGAAGATAATTAAAAAAAAGTGTGAAAGTGTTGATAGTGGTGAGATGTCAATGGCTCATGGGATGAAGAAAATGCATGAAAAATATTGGGATAATGTGGACAACATTAACTTGATGTTGTATGTTGCTGTTGGGCTTGATCCTAGACGGAAAATGCATTATGTGAAATGGGCTATTAATGATCAATATGACTTTGTGAAGGCTGCAAAATTGCATGATATGGTCATGAATACTTTGACTACGTTGTATAAACATTACGCTTCTTTACAAAGTCAAAATGTGCCAAATGTTTCTGAAATATTGATTTGATGAGTTCAAGAGACTTGGAAACTTGTAATGATT